GAAAACTAAGGCTCCTAAAATGGTTACATGTTTACCCTTTCTGAAATTAGTTGCTATAAGTTACCTAATATAATAGTTCAGAACTTGTTTGCTTCTATTTTATTAAAGAACCCCCTGAAGACATTTTACAGCTGTGGATGTCTAAGGGGGGAAAAAAAAAGAAAAAAAACAACAAAGTGTGTCATATCCAAAAAGAATTTGAAATAAAAATTGTTCAGTCTTAAAAAACAGTATTCAGTATTTTTGAAGGAAAAAAGCGAAACGACTACTTTGAATATAACTGAAAATCAGGAGGAAGCTGGAGCCTTGTCATGGCTGATTAAAGGGATAAAAATAAATATCAGCTATTCAGCAGGGAAGGCTTGACATTGAGCCAGCACTATGACCCCAGGCATCTGGGGAATCTGTAAATAAAAGCAAAGAAAGGAAAGAGGCATCTTTTAAGTTGAGATGCCTCCAGGTTAGATGGTCACCAGCAACAGTTTGTGAGCTTGTAATCAAAATGTTAAATTTAAGTGCTTGAGATCTTAAGTAGTCCAGTTGTAAGCATCTAACATCTCTTTGGGATCTGACCCTTCAGCCCACAAACTTAAGGAAAATTTAACACCAAATATAAGTCCTAGTACACCTGGGTAGTAAAAAAATGTCAGAAGCTTACAGTTTTACATCAGGTGTTACCATAGCCAGTGATCTTAAATGGGTAGATGGCAGGTCATATGCAAATAAAATAGATGAAGCAGGATGGTAACAAAGCAGTAGTGGAAAACCAGACTAATCAGATAACTAGTGTTCCTGATTTCATCTTGAAACTGTCACATTTATTTTGAATATCTGACAAAATTTCAAATTATAGTTTCAAAGATGCAAGTTGGCTAAGCTCCCACTATATCAGTATCATTACTACTCCCAAACTGGCAAGCCTTCCACAGAAGAGTGACTATTACCCAGTCCAGACAGATGAACTCACTACCAACAATATTAACATACAGAAAAATACATCAGCAGTATCTGTAAATCACAAACAGACGAGCAATCAACCAGAACATTCGCTACCTGCAAAGCACAACCAGGTTACCAGCACCGTGAGGCAGAAGCAAAGCAAAGGACATACCCACCACCAAAGAGGTTTCCCTGGCAATGCAACAGTTTGAACTCTCCTAACCTGCTGCTTAAGTGAGTCACACACTCAACTGACGGGGTTTAAATGCACTAATTTATGACCATAAATTATCTAGGATCAGACAGATAAAAATGAAATGCCACTTAAAAAAAATGTACATATGGGGCCTAATTTGTGAAATTAATTTTATTTTTTGAAACATGATATCCAATTACAAATAAATAATTCATACAATATAACTCAATAAGGATATACAATGTTCAGGCAGTTCATAGTAACAACCAAGATCACATTGAAAATGAGTTTACATTAAATAACCAATTACAATAATATACAACTGGTCATTCAATTAACTTTTCAGCCTGGTCCAAGGTGTATGCAAGTTGAAGACTGCTCCTCTTACCAGTAAAGAAACGAATGTACACAATTTTATACCAAGTTCAAAGTAGTTAATACATGACATGAATAAAAATTAAAAATGCTGCATTGCATCACCTAAATGTATTTTCAGTACAGAATAAAAGCTTGTGAATTTTAGCAGGATAAAGGTTATTGCAAAGGAGCCTTTTGTCCTATAGCAATTTCTGCATAAACTTACAAGCTTTACAGGACATTTTCAATGCATGGTTTCAATTCCACACTCTCCTCCGCATCCTATCTATAAAACCAGAAGGACGTAGGTATGCATTACGTTCTTAGCTTCAGTTGCATATTGTTTTTCGTTTTCATTTCAGCAAAACATTTTACTGCCAAGATAGAGCTTCCCATTGAGGTATGGTCCTGCTTGTGTGTAAGCTGTGGTAGCAGCAGCAGCAAAATTGCAAGGTCTTTTTCTTACATGTAATTTTTTTTTCGATTTCCTAACCTACTCCAGAAATACTATTTTCTGCAAAGAACACTTATGACACCTAGATTGAATTTAGCTTAAAGTCCTGAAGTATTTTTAAATAATTGTAGGAATTTAAAGGAGGTTCACAGCATCCTTGGAATTTCTTGGTCAGTCAGTTTTTATAATGAAGTAACTAAGTTTTCACAACAGAGTAAGCAGTTACAATTCCCCATGATTCAGAGTCTTGGGAAGTCTCAAATTTACAAAAGCTTTGTTAAAAATCCCGTTTTGTAGTGCCCCTCAGGTGAGGTATATACCCCTTGTTCTTGGTTTGAACTCAGAAAGACTGTTTAAAAGCTACAGCTCTTTCCATTACAAAATTCCCCACGTGACAGAGACCGCTACTTCCAACCATGCACTTCTCCTAATTTACTCTACAGCTATCTGCAGCCTTTGGGACACGTGCAATACATTCCAGCAGATACTTTTGTTCTTTTTACACTAGGCATAGGAAGACATTAAAAAAAAAAAAAAGAGACCAGGTAAATTCCTGGCTGGCATGTAGTGCATCTACGCAGGATTTCAACAAACTCCCCTAAAGTTGTCTTTCTGCTCAGCAATGCAAGAGCACAGGGTGAGAACATGGTGGCAGCCAAAAGTATCTGACAGGCATAACCATCTACAGGACTAAGGCTGCCAGAGTGAGGGAGCCATCTCACTGAAGCCATGGTCAATTCACAAGAAGTGTGGACACCCAGAGGACAGGTGGCCTCAATGGGACGTGGAAGTACTCAAAATCTACCAGCATTAAAGTCTGTCTTTTGTTACAAATCGAAAGAAAAGCCATACTCATCATAACTATTTGAAGCCCATACAAATATTTTAAAAGTCTATCTTCAACGCTGAGGCTAAAATTAATGAACTGATTTATTTTCACATTCTGTAGAAGAAATAAATGTCCATGATGAATCTGATGTCTAATGAAGGAGAAACTATATATATATATATCAATGTCCATTTTAAATATAAAAAAAAACTGAACTGTAAAATCAAATGCACAGTTAGACTGCAACCCAATTTTGTGACTGGATTAGAAGAAAAATGAAAACTACTATTTCCAAATCACTTTAAAAGTTTCATTTATGCAATTTATCCAAAAGCGGATTTAAATCCTTAGCAGAATAAAATATTAATTTCAGATTCCTTTTGAATTAACCAAAGGCAGATTTATTTTCTTAAGTCTGCTGCACAATGCACCAAGTGATATACGTAGTACTTCAGCAATTTATTAATTTTCACTAAAAAAATCACAAAAGAAAATATTTGAACAACACACATCCTGTGTTAAGTGTGAACTATTTAAGAGTCTGTTGAAGGAGCACAGACACATATTTAAGTATTAGTAATGCCTAACATAGTGTGACACTTACCCACAGAGCTGGCAATTTCCACACTCTGATTCTCTAGTCATTTGCCAACATTAGTCGTATCTCTACCTATTTGCCAGAAGATTTTATATATGATCTAGGTATCTGAAGGCATTAATCTCATAAACGTGTTTCTGATTTCTCTTTGTTGCTTATATTCCCATTTGACTAGTTACACCAAAATTCAGTCACAGTTTTTCATGGACAGCAGCGGGGGAAATCCATGAATAGTGAGAAAGATGATAATGTAACAAAATATAGCACAAACCTTCTCATCATTTCATCAAAACTGAAGTACAGGAAACCTACTTGATAACTTTTGACACCTATGAGACTGCTTTCTATAATCAATGTAAAGTGTTAATTTAAATAATATTTCAGAATTTTTTAAAATGAGAATTTGCGTATCAAACATCTCCCAAAACTCCCATGTTACAAATGCCAACAGCAAGAACTCCCTCCCGTAAAAAAAACCCAAAAAACTTTCTGCTGTTCAGAATTGCTGTTCACTACCATTGTAGGGTACTAAGAGAGCATCAACACCTTGAGTTTTAGTACTACAAGTAAACGATACACATGAGAGAATCATCTTCAAATTAAAGCCATTTTAATATTTGCTCCATCACAAAGTCAACTGATGTATGCCATTTCACATTACCATGTAACCCCGATTAAAATACTCTTTCTAGAAGTATTCTGAAAATCAAATTCACATCTGAAACAAATCCAAACACTCTCCCTGAAGGTAAGATCCCCCATAACTCTTCAAACAATATTCACATATCTATAGTTAAATAGAAATTGAGACTCCTTCCCAAAGTAAGAACTGAACAAACCAAGTAACATAAAGTCTGACTGACAAATACTTCAAATACCAGTTTTTAAAGCGAAAAAATGAACACAAAATTAAAGGGAGATTTTTAATGGCACAAAGGGCAGCTAGGCACTGTGTGAGCTGAGAACATAACTGTCATTATGACTTTAAAAATCCCCCAGGTAAGATTTGGGTTGCAGCTAGGGCAGTGCAGGGGTCTTGTCACACTTTTAGAAACAACGAAAGAGCAAACCCAGTGTGATGTCCAAACCTAACGAAGAAAGACAAAAGTTGTTACGGTCCCTCTGTTAAAAGGACACTGTCAAACTCAGTGTTGAGTGAAATTAATGCTGAGAGTTCTTATTAGCTCTACACAATTCAACTACTGGATGAAATGGTCATAAGCTATTTCAATAAGAAATTTCAGTACTTGAGAGATGATTCATAGGTTTAACTTCTGCTGTGTTAATAGTATCTTTTGCATTAAACGAACGTCAACTAACACCTGCAAGAGTACTTGCCTTTATGCAGAGCTGTGCCATGACCATCTTTTCAGACAAAAATAAAAGTAACCATTAGGCACATATTGAAGGTGTATTACACAAGCTGGAATGTCAAACATTTTCTCCCTCATGTTTACACAGAAAAATAGCACAGCAGCAAATAACCTGGTCCTCTGTTCAACAAAGATCTCATTACAAGCATTTTCAATGTACATGTCACAATATCAGTACCTTCTTATCTTTAAATAATTAGGTAAAAAAGGCCCCCAGTATAACCATTTCTTATATAGCCAAGTTCTCTTTATATACATCCAAATTTTAAAGATACAAATAAAACATTATACAGGATTTATAAATGTTTAAAAACTTGAGGCTTCAGAATCATGGTTTCCCAAAAAGACTCAGGAAAATCCACAGACTGACAAGGTAGCAGAAAAAAATGGAAAAAAGGAGACAGACACGAGTTTGCTGCCGTAACATTTTACTAAACTTGCCAGTCATCATGGTGATGTTATCAGAAATAACAGTTTAAGCTGCAGATGAGGAATGGTGAGTTTGTGTGTTGATCTCAAGTGCTGAGACAGGCAATTCAAGTATTTCCTATTTGATCCAAGCTCACTGTAGCAAAGTGGTGCAGAAAAAGAATTATTTTACATTTTTTCCATACATTCGATCAATGTCCATTTGATAGTATGCCGTGAGCTCTTTGCGTTTTAGTTTGAACGCATCTGTCACTAGACCAGTCTCAGGGGTCCAAGGATCAGGGCTCAAACGAATTTTTACTGGTATTTCAAACTTCTCCAGATTAGCTGTAAAAAGAAACATTTTAAATACAAAATTTAAATGCAATCATTTTTCTACAATTAACCACAAAAGGAGGAACCGTATCCTCACACAGAAAAACACATGACATGCATGAAGAGCTCCTCAACCCCCCCCATGGTTAGCTCTGAAAACCCCAGTGTGGTATCAAGTAGAGTGACAGAATCCACCAGCAATTATTCTCCAGCTCCCACAGAAATATTGAAACAAATCCCAGATTTTTGGGTATTTGTGCTGCTCCCTAATTTCAGAAAAGCCTCAGTGCATGGAGATGACATCCTCAAAATATACACTGTTGTACCAGTGTTATGACGCTCATGTTCTGAAGATAAAAATAAAAGTAAAAGAATCCCATGTTTTTACAGCATAGTGTTTTTTTTCTCCTGATAGCGCCGAACTGTTCAAGGAGAGTAAGTTTACACAGTAGCTGTTTCCCTTATTGAACCAGAACAGTGCTCTGCACGCTATATCTTTAGCACAAAACACTATTTCATTTGCAAGAGCTTTTGCTGTAGTTTCAGACATAAGAGAAGAAAAACAAATAACTCTAAGAAACGTAATCAACAGATGGGCAATATTAATATACATATCTCTTCAGGTTGAATTTAAAAAGTAATAATCCACAAATGTATAATTATCCTGGGCAACTTGACATTTACAGATTTTCCTGTACCTTTTACTCTCCTTAACATTAAATCACTGGAGTTTTGGTGTTTGTTTTTTTTTTAATTTAGCACTAAAAATCATAATATTACTTTAAAAGTAAGGCCTATGATACCAAAGGGGAAAAAAACCCCAAATAAAAAATAACATCAAAAGGTATAAAAATGTCTCATGATTATATCAAATATTGATTTCAAATCAATATCAAATAGCAATTTTAACAACATATTTAATTTGCTTTAGAATAGTTAATGCGGGGAGGGGGGAATGACTTTGTACACGATCTCCACTGCAGCAGCTTCTTAGAATGACTGCCCACATGCTCCATGAAGTGAAGGAAAACGGACTGGAGACAAGGGACAAGGAAAAAAGTCTGCTGCAGTACTGAGACTGCACTCATCATAAGAGTATGCTCTTACATACCAATTACAGAATTTAATATATTTACAAGTAGCATGGAGAAAAGAGGAACATTAACAACATAAGGTTTGCTGGAAGTATAAAGTTATAAGGTAGTAAAGATAAGGGCAAATTACAAAGAGGACATCATGATACCAAGCGATTACAGCAGAAAAATGTAAAAGAGAATGCCTATGAAAAACAAATTTAACATCCACAATGACCATTAAATGGTCCGTTGTCGTAACTGACAGCTATATTAAAAAAACTCAGGGCTTAGTAATGGTCTAAAGCAAAACCAAGGCTGAAATTATTATGAAAGAACAAATGAAATATCACTGTGCAACTGTTTAATTCTGCACTGGAATAGCTAAATAGACTACTACCAATTAGCATGAAAAAGATGCAGCTGAGGGGGAAGTATAATGGACACTGAAGAGAATCACGACTGCTTTTGTGACTGTTCACTGCCTCTTCCCATACAAGAGCTTGGCAGAACCAAACTGAACTGGCAGATGGCAGGGTTTAAACAAACGAAAGACATTCCTTCACATGAACACAGCTGAGCTGTGCAACTCTGCCACAAGACAGCATGGATACTGATACAGAACATTTATATAACTTATAATGTGATTAGAAGAGTTAATGGAAGAAAAGTCTATTGAAAATTATGAACCACAAAGACACTGCTTTAAGTTTAGGAAATCCCTCAGATCCAAGTCACCAGAAGCTACGGGAGCCCCTGTCACCATGCACTTATTTCAAACTATGCATAGCTATGTAGTATGTGAGACTGTATAATGCCCAACATGCATATCAGGGATCTACGGATGGTCAGTTACATGAACCAAAAGGACTGACTCAACTCACATTTTCTTGAGTTTTTTTTTTGTATGAAAATTTCACTTCATATATGTTCTATGAAATATACAGGCTCAAGGAAATATTTTCCTATGGGCCTACGCTTATCTGTTTCACAGACATTATGGTCCACAAGGTTAATACTACCTACCCAGCTACTCACCTGCCATGGCAGCCTCGGCTAGCACCTTCAGTACCTCTTTTTCCATCTCGGGACTGTTACAGATCTCTTCCCATGTTCCTTTAAATCCTTTCTTTCGAGCTAGCTCTGCAAGCTCCTTTTGATTTGGCACAACAAATCCAATGACATAAGAATGGAAACTGAGAAGTATAATGTACTTTAGTATGAATTTTGTAAAGTTAACAAGTTTTCAAAAATAACATTTCAAGTAGAGGGGTCTGCACTTCATACAGAGATATTGCTCTTAACAGTTGGCTTTTGTTCACCTGATAATCTTTCTGAAATAGTACACAAGTTACCTTTGCCTGCTTAAAAATAAGTAGAAAGAGAAGCTACTTACCTTACAGCAACTGGACTGCTTCAAGGTGTGCTGTCTATATGCATATTCCACTGTGCCTCATGCTCAAAGCTTTGGAGACGCAGTACCCATACGATGTCAATGCGCCCTGCCTCTCCTCATGTTTTGCATCCCGGTATGAAGACTGGTGTGCGGCTTCCCTACCTCAGTTTCCTCTCAACTGCAGAATCCAGTTACTGTAGAGGAGTAGAGGACTGCAGTGAAGAGGGGTTGGAGAGCAGGTTGTGGAATGAGCATATGCACAACACATCTCAAAGAATGCCCGCTTCTGTAAGGGAAGTGATTTCTCTTTCTCTTTCAAGTGATTGTCCATATGCTCACTCTACTGTTGGCAATCTTTGTCTGCTCTGAATACGCCTAGAACATATGAAGCTGTGATCTCAAAAGTCTTTGGGAGACACTGAAGCACAATTCACCCTAAAACAGGTATTTGAGATATTTCAGCTGGTGTAAAGTTTAGGGAAAATGTGAACAGAACCTCACATAGCAACTCTACACATTCTAACAAAGCAGATCACAGAATCAGAGCTGAAAGTCATCTCAGAAGATCACCTAATTAATCCATCTGCCTTGAAGCAAATTCAGCTACATCTAACAGATGTTTGTCTAACCCACTCAAACATCAGGCAAACACAAATGCCAATGCTTCACTACTCACAGCACTAGCAAGCTGTTCCTGATTGCGATTCCTGACTCTTCCTCTCTGCAGTTTACATCAGTTGTATTTCATACAGTCAATCGTCAGATGTTCTTCTCCTTTCCACAGAAGCCATTTATTCTTTCACAGACTGTTACTATTTTTTTCCCCCCTTCTCACCTTTCTAGTCTTCTTCCTTTCTCAGCTTTCTTAGGAGGAAAGAGCATTGCTTAAATTCCCAAAGTCATGCATCACAGATCTCTGCCCAGACATTCTCATTTTTCTCCTGGACTCTTTTCAAGAGGTTCACTCTTTCTCAAGTGTTGAATGTGGAACTCAGACCCTTCAATGTCTGGTAGAGCAAAAAGATCATTGTCCATCTTGTAGGCAATACATTTGATTATGTCATATTATTTACCTTCTTATAACAGCATGACTCATGCCAGCTCCTACAAAACTGCTACCAGCTAGTAGTTCCTCATCCGATATTTTTGCAGTTTATTTAGGTGTAAGTATAATTACATTTCCCCTTTTTAAATTGACTGCTGTTTTCGAGCAAATCTCTATTTAGTCCAGCTTGCTCTGAATTTTAATCCTGTCCTCCACTGTACCTTCAGTCCTGTCCCACCTTAACCATCTACAGATTTATTAAATCTTTTCAACTCTCTCTTTCACCAGACAGATCATCAATGCAAAACACAGAACCTTAACCCTGCTACGGAGTTTACTTAAGCTTATTCTTTAAAGTCTCCAAGGTACTTCTATAATACTAACTCTAAATACCCTTTTGGTTACTGTACATTGCAATTTTCTCCTTTGTTACTGGTATGAATCATGGTGGGCTTCTGACAGCAGTTGTGAAGACTGCATGAAACTCCATTAAAAACACAGGCTTTCCTGGCGTCATCTGTCGTCAAGCTTTGTTCGCTGATTCAAAACTGTTCTTTTTCTCTCATTAAGAATGTACTTACAGAAAGACTTCAGATTAGCCTCAGTATCACTTACTGCTTGAATCTCACCTTCTGCCTTTGCCTCTCTGATTTTTCCTCCCCCTCTACTCATGCGATACTCTGTACTGAACTCTCGTCGCTTCATCTAGGGTCTACTCTGTAACGTACGTATTCTCTATGAAGGCATCCAGAACGCAAAGGACTCTGGCACTTCCGTCCCTGGTTCCTGTAGTTTTTTGACATGCTTAAGGTCATGTCCAGCAATATTACCAGTGTCTCCAGGGATAAACAGCATATAGAAGTTATCTGTTGGCTAGGTAACCCTCAAACTTCTGGTTCATCTGACATTCAGCCTCTTGAGCATACTTCCTCTGGACAAACGGGTTCATCCAACTATGCTTTTTCCTGGAAAGAGTACCTTGGAGCTCACAGCTCCTGGAACGTGCAGCTTTCATCCTGTACCACTAGTTAAATCTTCACTTGTTGCAGTTCAAATGCTAAAGCAGTTTGTCCTGAGAAGTATCCTAAAAAAAACCTACATCTGCTCTCTGAAGCAGCCTCTTCCCTCTCCACTACCGTTCCTTCTGCAGATCTTTCGTATTTGCTAGCTTCTTCAGTCTTGGAGGTCATAACAGCAGGAAGGAAGAAAATTTTCACAATTTGGTCCTCAGCAACTCCTTAGTTATCTCCTCCATGTTAAGAGATTTTGCCAAAACGTGTCTCCTACACTAGGCATCCTCATTCCCTTGCTGTGCTTGAGACTCTATCCAAGTACAGCCCTCAGACCCATGGTAAGAGACATCTACAGTGGCACCGCATGTTGAC